GGTAGAATTACAGACAGTGAGAGAGAGAGAGACAGAGAGAAAGGTCCTCCCTTCATTGGTTCACTCCCCAAATGGCCGCAATGGACAGAGCTGCGCCGATCCGAAGCCAGGAGCCAGGTGCTTCCTCCTGGTCTCCCATGCGGGTGCAGGGCCCAAGCACTTGGGCCATCCTCCACTGCCTTTCCGGGCCACAGCAGAGAGCTGGACTGAAAGAGGAGCAACCGGGACTAGAATTGGCACCCATATGGGATGCTAGCGCCGCAGGCGGGGGATCAACCCAGTGCGCCATGGCACCGGCCCCGAGGGGTGTCTTTGTTAGCTCTCCTGGCCCCTGACTTCAGTAGCCCTCTCTCCTCCCCACAGACAGAAAACTCTTCCAGGAACTGGCAGGGCAAGGCCATGGAGCTGTTGGCAGAGTGGAAAGGACAATGGGTATGGAGTGGGAAGATTGGACTTGAACTTCTAGTTCTTGCCCTTGTTTGCTGGGTCACTTTGAATTCTCCATGCTTCATTTTCTTCATCTGTAAACTAGGAACAGTAATTCTTAGGATTTGTGGATGAAATGAAAGAAAGCAAAGTATTTAGATACATAATACATGATTATGACATGTAAGTTCCTTTTCTCCTCCTCTTTTTTTTCCCCCAAGGTTTGTTTATTTTATTTGAAAGGCAGAGAGAGTTACAGAAAGAGAGGGAGAGACAACAGAGAGAGAGAGAGAGAAAGAGAGAGAGAGAGAGAAAGATAGATGTTCCATCCACTGGATCACTCCCCAAATATCCACAACAGCCAGGGCTGGGCTGGGTTGAAGCCAGGAGCCAGGAACTTCATCCAGGTCTCCCACATAGGTGCAGGGGCCCAAGGACTTGGGCCATCTTCTGCTTTGTCAGGCCATTGGCAGGGAGCTGTCTCTGCCTGTTGAAAGCCCCTGCCCCACGCTCCTCCTCCTTTAGTTTGCTCAAAAAATTATTGCACTTGATGTTACTTATTATATAAATGTCTACTTAGACTAATTATGGACATTGATTTATTGTAACATATTTCATTGCAAGTGCAACCATGCACAGCTACACATTTTTTTCTCTCATTAGTTTTTAAATACAAAAGCAATGCCCACTCCCTAGACAGGCCAACTCACTGCAGATGTATTAAGAAAAAATGAATGCCTTCCTCCCTTGCTCATCTGTTCCTTGCTTTGCCTGCCAGGCAGTCACTGCCAGCCAGGGTACATTTTTCTATGCTCATATGAAGGTATACAAACACGTAGTTTCTTCTCACTCTTTTTGTTATTTTTGTTTATACAAGCTTAGTAGATGTACTGACTGCATTTTGCTGTTTTTACTGAGCAAAATGGCACAGATGAATGCACAAAATTTAATGTATCTTTTTTATGTCTACATTATATCTCGTCTCTACATGGATGCATGTAGCTTATTCAATCATTTCATGCTTGTTGAACATTTGGGCTGTTCTTGTGTTTTGGTTCTAGAAAGTACTATAGGAGTGGGCATTGTGTTGCAGTGGGTGAAGCCACTACTGGAGGTGCCTCCATCCCATAATGGGATGCCTAGGATGGAGTCCTGCCTCCTCTTCCAATCCGGCTTCCTGCTAAGTTTCCTGGGAGGCAGCAGAGGATGACCCAAGTGCTTGGGCTCCTGCCACGTACAGGGTAGGAGACGTAGATGAAGCTCCCACTTCCTGACTGCCGCCTGGCCCAATCCTGGCTGTCGTGGGCATTCGGGGTATGTACCAGCGATGGGAAGTTCTTGCCTTCCCTTCCTGTCACCCTACCTTTCAAACATACAAATAAATAAATCGTAAGAACAACAAAAGAAAACACCACCACAAACACTCTGGCACACGTAGCAGACACGCAGGTCTAAAGGTGTTAAGAAATCTGACAGGTCTTAGATATTGTCAACTTAGGAGAAATAGTCACTGAGATCATTCCCCTCTCTGCAATCATAGGAATGATTAGCTTTGCAGACGCAGGGGCCTTGCTCTCCCTAACTCCTTGGAATGCTCTACATCATAACTGTATGTTTTCGCTTATCATCTTTGATGGTTGCGATTTCTCAACATCAATGGCCAGAACCTCGCTCCTGTGCCGTGTGTGTGTGTTGGGGGGTAGGTTGGGAGACAGTATCATCTTGGAAATGCCAGGTGGCTCCGTCTGCTGACAGCAAGCCCGTGTTTCTAGGCCGATCTTCAGGTCTTCCCTGCGCTGCAACTTCTGGGTGGTTCCTGCATTTGTTCTGAGAGGGATAATAAAATTCTCCCAAAAGTTCGGTGTGATTTCTAGACTCGTATATTAGAAACTCAATGTAATTTTTTCCACTGTGTTTTATGGATGTCCATTTGTAGGCTTACCAATGCTTTTTTGTAATCTTTTTCCTTGTAAAAGTAGCCATATGGCAATATGACTTTTATGCTTGGGATTTTGGTTTCTTTACAGCTCTATAGATCTTTTCTATTTTTATTTTTTAATTTTTAAAAAAGATTTATTTATTTATTTGAAAGGCAGAGGTTCAGAGAGGGAGAAACAGAGGCAGAGAGACAGAGAGAGAGAGAGATCTTCCATCCATTGGTTCACTCTCCAAATGGCTGCTATGGCCAGGGCTGATCCAGGCTGAAGCCAAGAGCCAGGATCTTCTTCTGGGATCTTCTTCTGCACCCAAGTGGGTGCAGGGGTCCAAGGACTTGAACTATATTCTGCTACTTTCCCAGGTACATTAGCAGGGAGCAAAATTGGAAGTGGAGCAGCTGGGACTCAAACCAGCGTCCATATGAGATGCAGGCTGGGGCTTTACCTGCTATGCCACAGCACTGGCCCCCACTCTGTAGATCTTTAGGACCCTGCTCAACTCTGTTGTGTCATTAAGCAAGCTTGGGTCATGCCAAGTACCTTCTGTCGTGGTGGTGTGAGCCGCCCCCTCCCACCCCATGCTTTTGTGTGCCCTGTGCTTTGGTCAACAAAGTCAACACTTTATCACCTCCTCTCTCTGGAGCCCAAGCTTTATACACCTGCGGGGCTCTCTGGGTTTGTCCATTATATGCCATTTAAGAGCTTTAACAAGCAGTGAAGCATCAACCTCAATATTTCCTTCTTTCCAGCTTCTCATTCGTGTTGGCTTGGATGTTACAAAAACATAAATTATTCTTAAAAGAGTTTGATCGATATTTTCTGTTATCGAAGCCTCTATTTGAACCACTGATCATTTAAAAAAGTGATTGAGTCCTCGCAGCTTTTCGTTCTTGGGGGAGGTTGTCTGGGTAATATTGTGTTCATCCCTTTGTCTCCTCTTGTTTGAACACTACTGAATGCCGTGAGGTCATCAGGCAAGTTTAGGCCACTTTCCTTGGAATCTTGAATTCTTTCCCTGTTTCCTCCGTGTTGTCTGCTATAAATCTTGTTTCTTGTCTCGGATCTCCGGGAGGACAGATGCCAATTCCAGCATTCTCCCAGTCTTGTCCCTTGACCTTGACGTCAGAAAGACAGGAACAACCCTACACATCTCTGGGTCAGCACTCAACGGGGCTGAAAATCCGTATACACGTGGGTGGAGGCTCTTCCTTCTGATGGGTAAGTTCACAACGCAGAAGACAGAAATGTGTTCTTCTGCCTGCAGAACGCACCAGGCACCTGAGCTTCACAGCTCCGAAGGGAACTTATTCCCAAGGTGCATTTGTAAAATAATTTTGGAGCAGGTGATAATATCTGGCTACGTTGTCCTTGGCATTTTATTCAGTGCTCTGAGGGTTTCATGATCCGAAATGGTTGGCGAGTTTCAGTATTAAAAGATTGAGTGTGCTCTTAGCCACACACTGTAGTGTGTCTCATATCTTGGTACCCCGTAGTGGGCCTCACCCATCTCCACCTGCAATTTTTCAGTCTTACCGCAGGGCCCGAGCACATGCAAAGGAAACAGAGGCAGGGTGTCCACCTCCAGGAGAGAGGCTTCCCTGCTGGGGGCTGGGGACTGAGCCCGACAGGCTTTTTCTGTTAATCCAGACTGGACCAACTGTTGATGTTTTTCAGTTTTGCAGCGGAAGAGAAGCATTGTGGGTTTTATTTACTGTTTGACTTGGTGGGAGACACGTGTTTGAGCTAAGACACGCTGTGCGTTTTCTAGTGGTTTCATGCTCAGTGGTTCATCTTATTCTGCGGTTTGCTATTTCAGCAGAATCTGCGGCGTGCCTGGAGGGTCCCTTTTATGCTCTATGCAATGTGCCTGGCAGACAAACAATATTTGTTGGTTGTGTTGATGATGAAGGTTTCGTATTCTCGCATTGCTCTTGTTGGCTTTATCTTGAAGGTACAATTTATAGGAATTGTGCTCAGGTTTATATGTTGATAACTGCAAAAGTGGGTTTTTATGTCATGTGTGTCTGTTTCCTTGAGGATTGTCTCATTTGTGATCTGGTCATACTAAATTCCTTGACTGAGAAAGTCCTTCCCCAGCTTGGCCTGGGTCTATATCGGGTTCTTTCTAAGACCTGTGCCTCCTACCTGGTCGTAGAGTGTGTGGCTAAGCCTCACTGTTCCAAGTGGGATAAGCCAGAGCCACCCGGCTGCAGGGGTACAGCAGATGTGACAGAGGTGACCCCCATGGGGTGAGAGAGCAAAGCCATGGAAGGTGGCAAAAAAAAGCCACCTGCTTGGCCAAATGGCAGCGTTTGGCTGGACGAGGGGTGGGATGTGACAAAAGACCAAATACCCGAGCCTCTCTTCACTTTGGGGCTTTCAAGGTTTTAAGAAATCTGGCGCCATATCACTTAAACCTTCTTATTTCCTGAGATTATTTGACCTCTTAAATGGCTGAGCCTATGGCACTCTGGTGACTGAGAAATCAATCATTACTTTTTTTTTTTAAAAAGATTTATTTTATTTATTTGAACAGCAGAGGTACAGATAGAGGTAGAGCTAGAGAGAGAGGGAGAGAGAGAGAGAGAGAGAGAGGTCTTCCACCCGCTGGTTCACTACCCAGATGGCCGCAACGACCAGAGCTGAGCTGCTCTAAAGCTAAGAGCCAGGAGCCTCTTCTGGGTCTCCCACATGGGTTCGGGGTCCCAAGCACTTCGACCATCCTCTACTGCTTTCCCAGGCCACAGCAGAGAGCTGGATCGGAAGTGGAGCAGTCGGGATTTGAACCGGCGCGCATATGGGAATCTGGTGCTGCAGGCTGGGGCTTTAACTTGCTGCACCACAGTGCTGGCCTCCAATCGTTACTCTTAACCCCTTGTTCTCACTTGCTATCTTTGTGTTTTAGCTTCTTCCCCCTCCGCCTACAATGTACGTTTCTTGAGGTAAGGGGCTTACCTTGTGCTTCTTTTTCATCTGCTGACTCACTTTAGTGATGGACATAAAGAAACTAGGCATTAGTTAATTATGCCCTGATTATCCAAATAATTTCATTCTTCCCTGTGGGCTAAGACGCTGGCTACAGTATTGGCAGCACTGAGCTGTCCTATCAGCTAGGGTGTCACCCAGTTCCTGTGTGATGTGGCTGAACATGTCCACATACAAAATGCAGCTAGATTATAACGCATAGCTTCATTCACTGGCTTTCTTGAAAACTTCCGGAATGATTTTGGTAACTTGCAAGTGTAAGTTTATTGAAGCAGAGTTAAGAATCAGAGAAAAGTTGTCATTGGGACTTTTTCAAGAGCGTTCTAATAGGAAAACGAGAGGATACAGAACAATTCTTAGCCATCTATTTTTGGACTGGAACTTTGCCCTGAGGTTATTCAGAAAGGTTAGTAGATGGGGGTGATGTCTTCACTCGCGTCCTCGAGTTTTTTCTTTGAAAGACACTTTCATTGATCTGGACGCGGTTTATTTGATTTTCACCTCGGAAATGTTGCTCACTTGAGACGAGACGACTCTGCCGTCCACCACCTCCTCTATGATGGTCTTGGTCACTCTCATCTTGTTGGGATCTAGAAACCGTGGGATCACAATGTCAATGAAGGCTGTCACAGAGACACAGAGCAACAGGAAGTCAACCGCCTCTCTAAGCAAGAGAGGGTAAGCTGTGTCGTGCACTCTTCATCTGCCCAGCCAAGCAGGCTTTTATTTTTAAATAAGAAATCATCATCAACATTAAAAGAAAAACCTACCTCTCTGTTGGCCAGAGTGGCTTTCAGATCTTGAGTCCCTGGATCCTAGGTCTCTGAAGTCCGATCTTCCAGAACCAGAGCTGCCAGAGGGGAAAAAAAAAATTGTGCCTTTTGCGAAGGAGGTGGAAACCACGCGCACCCTAGGGATTTGGCATGATGTCGCTGTAATTCCTTGTGTCTGTTACTTTATGAGTTGGTAAGCACTCCGTCAAGTTCGACACCCGCCCCCCGGCCCCCGGGGCCTGCTGGGATTCACAGGATAAATTTGTGGAGGCTCGCAGCTTGCAGTTACCCTCCCTCTCCATCGAGCAGACGGCGGTAGGTCTCGATCTCCATCTCCAGGCGTGTCTTGGTGTCCAGCAGGCACTCGTATTCTGCACGCTGGCACTGGGTCTCGCCTCGGATCTGCCGGAGCTGCTCCTCCAGGCTGCCGATCTGCCTTTGAGTTTCTGACAGCTGAGCCACATAGCCAGCTTCTGTTTCAGCCAGTGTCCCTTCCAGGGAGCTTTTCTAAGGGGAAAAGCAGACAAAAAAAAAAAAAAAAAAATCAGGATGAAAATAAGTCCCTGAATGACTTTTTTTTTTTTTTTTTTTGGTAGGCAGAGTGGACAGTGAGAGAGAGAGACAGAGAGAAAGGTCTTCCTTTGCCGTTGGTTCACCCTCCAATGGCCGATGTGGCCGGCGCGCCGTGGCCGGCGCGCTGCGGCCAGCGCATCACGCTGATCCGAAGCCAGGAGCCAGGTGCTTCTCCTGGTCTCCCATGGGGTGCAGGGCCCAAGCACTTGGGCCATCCTCCACTGCACTCCCGGGCCACAGCAGAGAGCTGGCCTGGAAGAGGGGCAACCGGGACAGAATCCGGCGCCCCGCCCGGGACTAGAACCCGGTGTGCTGGTGCTGCAAGGTGGAGGATGAGCCTAGTGAGCTGCGGCGCCGGCCATGATTTTAAAAAATATAATAGGTACTGAGAGGACACCTTTGCAAAATTACAACCTATATTGTTAAGTTCTATTGGTGTTACTTTCTACACTAGTTCTCTTATGGAAATAGAGTGCCGTGTCTTTAACTGTCTTGTGCTTTCTAGAACCACAATGTAGTTCTCCGAACACTGCTTTTATCGTATAGCTAGTGAACCTCCCGGCCAAGGGAGAAACTGCTTTGGCTTGAGTTCCTGTGGGAAATCTTGCAAAGTTCTTTGCAGCACATACCATGGCCAGCTGGGACTGAAACTCAATGTCCAGGGCTTGGAGAGTACGTTTCAGCTCGGTTATCTCGTTCTTGGCGGAACTGGCTGCCCCAGCATCCATAGAAATCTGTGCTTGTAGCGATGCGCTCTAAATAAAGAGAAACCGCAGCTGTTGGAGTCTAGAGCAAGGAGCAGAAGCAGCTTGTGTATGGCGGCTTGTGGGGTCAGGGCTCCGCAGAGTGGGCTACCTGCTTGTTGAACTGCTCCTCTGCTTCCCGCCGGTTCTGCTCAGCCAGCTCCTCGTACTGTGCCCGCATGTCATTCAGCAGCGTAGTCAGGTCGGTTCCCGGGGCGGCCTTTATTTCTACGGTCACGTCTCCCCCAGAGCGCCCTTGGATACTCTTCATTTCCTGGCACAAAGGAAAGAACGCCACGGTGATGAGCCTGGAAGAGCATCATCTTCTTGAAAGGTGCACAGCCAACACCAATTTGCCTCTAGAACAGCAGGTTCGGATGTGATATGCTGGCTGGACTTTTGTGCTGGTCACAGGATGTGGAGAATTTATTTAGGTAATGTCAGGTTTATTTGGTTCCTGTGGAATGGTTGTGGGGGTGGGGAGGGGATAAGCAATCCAGGCTGTTCCCTTAGGTGAAGCGCGCTCCCACCTCCTCGTGGCTTGTCTTCAGGAAAGCCAGCTCCTCCGTGAGAGTCTGCACCTGCATCTCCAGGTTGGAGCGCGTTGGGGTCAGCTCGTCCAGGACTTGGCGGAGGCCACTGATGTCGGCCTCCACGCTCTGCCGGAGAGACAGCTCTTTCTCGTGCCTGGAGGGGGTGGCAGTGAGGAAGTATGACGAGCTGGCCTGGCTGCCTGCCATCGTCCCGTATTGGACACATTTCCACCTCTGAGTATTTTTATAGATGAAAGCTACTAAGTTTTCTCTTAGGGTTTTTCCTCCATGGAGAAAAATGTGAGTCTAATGCTAATTTTAATGATGTCTAATAATTGTTTAAAGACAACATTAAAAATTGCTTTTGAGAGAGAGAGAGAGAGAGAGAGAGAGAGCTCTCAAGCTGTGGTTCAGTCTCCCAATGCCCACAGCAGTTGGAAGGTGGAAGCAAAGGTTAGGGGGGCTGAAGCTGGGAACCAGGAGCTCCATCCAGGTCTCTCATGTGAGCGGCAGGAACCCAACTACCTGAGCCATCATGGCTGCCACCTAGGGTCTGCAATAGCAGGAAGCTGGAATCAGAAGTGGAGCCAGGACTTGAACCCATGTCCTCTGCTGTGAGGCATGAGTGTGTTCCCAGCTGGGCCAAATTCCTGCCCCAAAGTCTAACGATTGTTAGAATGAAATTCTCATCCTTCTCTTGCTTCTTTTCTTCCCTTCCCTCCTCCTCCCTTTCTCTCTCTCTTCCTCCTCCTTTTCTGGTGGAATGATGGTTTCTAAATTTTACCCTTGGGCTATTTGGGAATTTAGATCATTATTTCCTAAGAAATCTTTTTTAAGATTCATTTTATTTAATTGAAATACAGAGTTACAGGGAGAGGTAGAGCCAGGGAGAGAGAGAGAGAGGTCTTCCATCCACTAGCCCACTCCCCAGATAACTGCAATGACTAGAGCTGCACTGATCAGAAGCTGGGAGCCAGGAGCTTCCTCCAGATCTCCCATGCGGGTGCAGGGCCCAAGGATGTGGGCCATATACTACTGCTTTCCCAGGCCATAGCAGAGAGCTGGATTGGAAGTGGAGCAGCCGGGACTCAAACCGGTGCACATATGGGATGCTGGTGCAGCAGGCTGGGGCTTTAATCTGCTGTGCCACAGCGCCAGTCCCCCTCCCCCCCTTTATATTAAAACATTTAATTTAATTTTTCAGTAACACTTGTTTCCCAGGCTTCATGTTACTTACTTCAGCCTGAAGTCATTGGCCGCCAGTCTGGCATTGTCGGTTCGCAGAATCACCCCAGCATTGTCAGCAGTGGCACTGACGATCTGGAAAAGATGGGGCCGTGACTGACTCATGGATGATTTTTGCCTGCTTCTGAGGGTGTAGGTCCCCTGTGCATAGCTCTTAAAGGCGAATTGCTTTGCAAACTTTCCCAGCGATGCCATTTGTATACCTAGGATCACATCTTCCTGCAAAAAGGTAACAGTTTCACGTGTGTTACAGAACACAGCCCTCTGTGGGTTTCTGTTCAGTTATTCCTGGAGTGTTTTCAGAAAATAGTGCAAAGATTCAATTTACTTTCTAGAAAAATCTTTAAAATATATTTCCTCTACAACAGTGGCTATTTTAATCATAGGATAATTTGATTTAACTAAGGCTGATTCATTGCCCTCACTCTCATATGTGTATATTATTTAGCTGCCATGCCTTGTGGACATTTTGCCCTCATTGTAGGAATATTCAAATCTGAGATGAAAACAGAAAATTCATACAGCTGGCCATCACACAGAAATGTCATAGTTAAGATGTTCCAGGTCTCATTTTGCCATCACAACAAACAAGCATTTTTTCCATTCCTCCACTCACATGTCCACTACAGTAGATGATCCGAATAAAAATGAAAAGTCCTCACTAGAAACGCAGCCGTGGCTGGAGGCTCACCTGGTTCCTGAGATCCTCAATCATTGCGTAGTATTTGCTGTAGTCCCGTCCAGATCCGCCATCTCTAGACCCCGACCCGAGTCTGACATACCACTGTTGGATCCTGTTCTCCAGGTCAGCGTTGGCCTCCTCCAGGGCTCTGACCTTGCCCAGGTAACTGGCGAGGCGGTCGTTGAGATTCTGCATGGTTTGCTTTTCACCTCCAGAGAGAAGCCCCCCGTGGCTAACACCACCTCCCATGCTAGCACCATAGCTGCAAAAGCTCCCACCAGCACCACTGCCGAATCCAGAGCCCCCACCAAAGCCAGCTCCGCAGCCTGCGACTCCTCCCAAACCGCCCCCTCCAACGCCACCTCCAAAGCCGACTCTAAACCCCCGGCTCAGGCCACAGCCGCCGGCACCCCCATGGGTCCCCAGACCGCTTCTGCTTCCACTGCCAGAGCTGCTTCCGCCTGCGGCTGCCCTGCTGCCTCCAGCCCTGGAGGAAGAGACTCGAGATGAGAGAGACATGGGGCTCTGGCCGGTGCTGAGCTTGTTGGAGGAACTACGAGGGGTGACGGTGAAGAGTCTATCCTAGGCTGCCGTTTGACCCTTATATACACAGTTTTAGGGTGTTCCTTTTCTCCATCGCCTCTTAATCCTGGTCACAGTTTTGCAAATCCGTAATTGGATAATTTTTTTCCCGTGGACTTACACTCCTTTTCTGAAGCTGGGTCAGGGCGAGCCCTGGGGCATTCACTGTATCAGGGGGGAAAAAAATAAGGCGGAGCAGTGGAAAAAAATATTCAGAATTCCAGTTTTAATCTTTCAGGGGTTTTGTCGGCTGGCAATTGTTTCCTGAAAGAATGCTTCTGTTAAATTTGCTTCATGATTTCCCTACTGCTGGGAACAGCCTCAGATTATCAACTGTAATTAAAATGCTTGGGGGGTTCTGATGAAAATTTCCCGTCGAACACGGAACTTTTTGTTTGTGTGCTGAAGTTGCAATTAGCTTCACATCAGCATTGATTTCAGATTTAAGAAAATGGCCGTCTCTTCGATGGCCTCCATCAGCATATTTCTCTGATTTGTCGTGTCAGGTCATTGCTTTCTTTGTATTTTGAGATGACCGGATGACAGGTTTTCACTGTTAAGACCCATGCAAAGACTCCCTTGTCTTGTGTGTGAATCCTGTTAGATCTCAGTAACACCTTTATTCAAGCTGATTGTGTCCGAGAAAGACTGGAAAGGGCTTCTGACAGATCGGAGTTCAGGTGTAACTGCAGTGTGACCTCGAATCTGTTCTCTTTCTGTTAGAATTGTTCTCTGATATAAACATGGAGACAGCCTTCTTGAGAATCAAAGCTCAAGAAAGAAAGACATTGTGTTGTTTTCTTCTGCTTTTGTTTCAGATTAATTTTTTAAATTGAAATAGAGAGAGAGAGAGAGAGAGAGGCAATCTTCATTTGCTGATTCAGTCCCCAAATGCCCGAACCAAGGACCCAGAACACCCAGAACCCAATTTGGGTCTCCTGTTTGGGCGGTAGGGACCCAAGTACGTGAGCTATCTCTGGCTGCCTCCCTGGATACACGTTAGCAGGCAGCTGGGTTGCAAATGGAGGTAGGACTCGAATCCAGGCACTTTGATGTGGGATGCTGGTGCCACAACACTGCCCCTGGTCTTTGTATTACAGCTCTCTCTGAAAAACAGGATTGGAACACACTTCTGACCGGGTATGCTGTCCCTGGAGTCATTTTACAGATGTTGAAATCTGGTCTATTCTTTGTTCTGTTTTTCTGTTTTGGTTTAAATGGTGTTTCGAAGAGATGACCTGTGCCTACTTCTGATAACTCATGTTGAGATTGGAGTCATTTGTAGATTCTGAATTCTGGAACACACCCCGGTTCACTTTCAGCTTTGTGTTTTTCTCTTTGTGCTATGGATTGTTCCCATTCATCTCTGCTAGTAGTTTCATTGTAAGACAAATACCGTATGATTTCACTTACCCGAGCTGTGTGGAGGAGCTGAATGCAAGGAGACAGGGTGGAGTGGTGGTTACCGGGGCTGCAGGGCTGGGCAGGGGGCACGGAGCTGTTTAATGGGTGCAGTTTCAGTTTTGCAAGATGAAAAGTGTTTTGGCGCTTGGGTGCACAACAATGTGAGTGTACTTAACACTACCAAACTGTACAAGTAAAACATTAAGATGATACGTTCTGTGTTGTGTGTATTTTATGACAATTTTTAAAAAGGTGCCTTTAAAAAAAGCATAGCTACTTCCCAACATATTTCTCGGTCTCAGCTTTATGCTGACTTTTGTTTGTTTAGGACTTTCTTCCTCTTCTTGGCAGGCTCTGCTGAACTGTGTGCCAGGCGTTGATCTTTACATTCAAGCCTTTCTTAGCTTTACATTCAAGTCTGTCTTAGCTTCCTAAACTGCCTTTGATTGTCAGTCTGAAGCCAGGAGCTTCTTCTGGGTCTCCCACGTGGGTGCAGGGGCCCAAGGACTTGGACCATCCTTTGCTGCTTTCGCAGGCACATTAGCAGGGAAGTGAAGCTGCCTGGACTCAAACTAACGCCCTTATGGGATGCCGGTGCTAAAGGCCGGGGCTTTGACCTGCTGCGCCACAGTGCCGGCCCCTCTGCCTGTGTAATTTCACAGTGATGCATTGTTGCTGTTCTTCATATTTAGAGTGACAACTTCCAAAGGCACCAGATGTTTAAAAAACGTTTAAATTATTGAGTTGGGTGTTATTCGTATTGTCCCTTTCTAAGGTAGGTTTAAAAAAATGCACCAAATATAATGTTTGTCATCTTGCCTTCCTAATGACTAAAGGGCATGCAAATGAGGGAGACAGGAGGAACAACCATCAGGGTTTTTTCCTTTTGACCTTTGAAATGTAACTTTTTTTTTTTTTTGACATGCAGAATTTGACAATGAGAGAGAGAGAGAGAGAGAGACAGACAGAGAGACAGGTCTTCCTTTACTGTTGGTTCACCCTCCAATGGTCGCTGTGGCCAGTGCGCTGCGGCCAGCACACTGCGCTGATCCGAAGCCAGGAGCCAGGTGCTTCTCCTGGTCTCCCATAGGGTGCAGGGCCCAAGGACCTGAGCCATCCTCCACTGCACTCCCTGGCCACAGCAGAAAGCTGGCCTGGAAGAGGGGCAACCGGGACAGAATCCGACGCCCTGACCGGGACTAGAACCCGGTGTGCCGGCGCCGTAAGGCGGAGGATTAGCCTAGTGAGCTGCGGCTGGCCTCTCTTTGCTTTTTAAATTTGGCTTCAAAATAAAGTTCTTGGGGTGGGTGTTGGGCACAGTGGTTGAGATATTGCTTGAGGTGCCGGCATCTTTATGTCAGATGCCAGGGTTTGAGGTCCAGCTCCACTCCGAATTTTATTTATTTATTTATTATTTATTTTTAAAAGATTTATTTATTTATTTGAAAGAATTAAGCAGAGAGAGAGAGAGAGAGAGAGAGAGAGAGAAAGTCTTCCATCCACTGGTTCACTCCCCAGATGACTGCAGCAGCTGGAGCTGTGCTGATCCGAAGCCAGGAGCCAGGAGCTTCTTCCTGGTCTCCCACATGGGTGTAGGGACCCAAGGATTTGGGCCATCTTCTACTGCTTTCCCAGTCCATAGCAGAGAGCTGGATCGGAAGAGGAGCATCCAGGACTAGAACCGGTGCTTCAGGCCAGGGCTTTAACCCACTGCGCCACAGTGCCGGCCAACACACCAGGTTTTAGCTTCCTGCTAATACACACCCTGAGAGGAAACAGGTGATGTCTCAAGTAGTTTGGTCCCTGCCACCTTTGTGGGAGACCTGGATTACGTTCCAGGCTCCTGGTTCCATCTTGCCCAGCCCTGCCCAGCTGTTGTGGACATTTGGAGAGTGAACCAATGCATGGAAGATCACTTTCTGCCTTTCAAATAAATAAATATAAAAGCAAACAAACTAAAATTCTTACGACATGCTTCTCTGACACTCTAGAGATGGGAAGGGCATTTTATGAATGAAACAGCGGTGACTGCCTCCGATTCTTTGTGTAAATACATAGATAAACCATAGAATTGACTTCCCCTTGTTAGCATTGTCTCAGATGCATTTTCATGCTTGCTTTCTCTTGTGCCTGTGTGGCTTTCCTTTTAAATGATGACTATCAGCATAATCTTTTTCTTTTTAAAGATTTATTTATTTATTTGAAAGTCAGAGTTACACATAGAGAGGAGAGGCAGAGAGAGAAAGAGAGGGAGAGAGAGAGAGAAAGAGAGAGAGAGAGAGAGTGTCTTCCATCTGTTGGTTCACTCCCCAATTGGCTGCAATGGCCGGAGCTGTGCTGATCCGGAGCCAGGAGCCAGGAGCTTTTTCCGGGTCTCCCACGTGGGTGCAGGGGCCCAAGGACTTGGGTCATCTTCTACTGCTTTCCCAGGCCATAACAGAGAGCTATCAGCGTAATCTTGGCTCCATGATTTGCAAACATTGGTGTGCAGTGGATTAAGGCATTTTAATTACACATTTAAATATAGTTCTGTTCTTGCCTGAAATGTTAAACTTCCTTAGCAAACCTTAGTCCCTTTGTTTGGAGAAGGTGAGTACTCACTCTCCATATCTGACATAATGACTTGCCAAAGATAGCAGAGCAGTTTTTGGCATTTCTTTCATCTGTAAAATGAAAGGCTTCTAGAGTTTGGTGAGGCATCCATGAGATGGGATGTCCAGAGGGGTCGGCTTCGCTGCCTGGCACCCAGGAGTTGTTTGACAGCAGAATGTTTAAAGGAAACGTATGGAACCCCAGTTGCCTTTTGGGTCAATATTCCCTCCTTAGTTTTGTGCTAGTTTGCATAGTTTGTGATTAACAGGTATTTTCACCTGTAGAGGATCACAAAAACTATACTTCACTGCAGAATAAGCTTTTTGTATTAAGTGCAGAATGATTTGCAAAGAGTTACCATCACTTTTTCCTGGGAGATAGGTTGTATCTATTTTGAAGCTTTCATATTAATATGTTATTATTTGCTTTTATATTAGCAGGAAAATCAAACACTGAAAAGTATGGCCTATGGCCACCAGTGGATCTTTTCAGAGATAAAATTCAGAGCTTCTGTCTTCCATTCATCCTAGGGAATATTCTGTTATGTGCTTTTCAAATACAGCATGGGATCAGCATAGGTAAGGGCGGTAGGTGTTTGTGATGGACGGTAGAGAAAGCGGAGGTGCAGACCCGAGGTGTGAGCAGTGTCTGCAAGCTTGGTTCAGACAGGCAGACGGATAGACACGGCTCTGGAATGACCGATGGCAGCGTGGCTTGGCTCACTTCCGGCACAGCGTGAGTCCTTGGCTGCTTCCGTTCTTTACTGTGTGTTCTGCTTTCCAAATCTTTGTTCTGCAGCTTCTGGGTTTAGGCTTCTCAGCGTGGGCCTGGGTGTGGTGGTGGGGCAGGGAGGGTCGTGCAAGTGCCACCTGGGGACTGTCCCCTTAGACAATTGATATCGAGGTGGGCTTTCTGGTGGTGGCTTCCAGGCACAGCTACCAGAAAGAAAAAAAAGGTTTTGTAACAATGTCCATTGGACCTGACACCATCAGTCAATGGATTTCAGTCCCAAGCAAATGTCAGACCCAGAGATGTCACAATCGACCTGTAAAAATGCAGGAGAAACCCACGATTCTGTGACTGCTTCTCTTCTGCACTCTTT